CTCTGTCCCTCCCATTTAAGTGTATTGGTAAAGCTGCAGAAAAGAGTTAAAAATTTAACTGCAGCAGAGAAAGGACAAAGCCACAGCTGGTACATAGCTGTATGGTGTGGGAGGAAATGAAACAAAAAGTACTGAGGAAGATTGAATGATATTTGTAGGCAACTGAAAAAAAAACAAAGCATAGGATGAGGCACATAATAGAGAAAATGCGATTCCTTTCATCTCTGCTCCAGTACTTGATTCCTCGCATCCCTTTCATTTCTATGGTCTAGTGAATCTGTGCAAAGGAAGAATATACCCCTGCTGTATTCCCGCAGCAAAATGGGAGGTCTGGCATCACCTCTGCTTGCGCTGCCACTCTGCAGAGGTGTCTGAAGCAACGGAGGAGTTGGGAACTCATGGAAAAATAAGTGGGATGCTGTTTGCTCTTGTTCCTATGATTCTGTGATTCTACTCACAGGATATAGGTGATGACTCCAATGGACCAGCAGTCTACGGCTTTGCTGTATGGCTTCTGGGCAAGGACTTCAGGGGCTGCAGAACAGCAAAATCAAATGAAAATTCTAAGCAATAATAAATTATTCAATACTGGGAAAAGCGGTAGTTCTTGTACACTTGGCCTCTCCTCAGTGCAGGAGAATTGGCCAGTAACAGCCCCATTTCCCAGTTGGATTGGTGTGTGCTTTTTGTATCTATTTATGCCTTTGAATAGAAGGAACCACTGACAATTTCTGCCTGCATCCTGAGGCTTTAACCAGTAAGCTGTGGATCAAGCCAACACAATCTGGTGGACATCAAACAAAATTGCAGCGTGTTAAAGTTTCAATAAATACATGACTAACGCAGAATTTTTTTTTTTTAATCCTTTTCTTTGCACTTTTAAACATTCTGGGATTTTGCAGCCTCTACGCTCATCTGTAATCCAGTCTTTATGTGGTCCACGCAGTGCATCTGTGAGTAGCATGTTATTGTTAATGTAATTATATATTTTTTTCCTTTTTGCTAGGCAACGTACTGTACATGCACAACCTTTTTTCCAGACAGTCCACCGGCACGAGCCCATTCCTGATCCTTGGCTTACCAACGTATCCTGGAGTCCCACAGGCGGTGGACATGATGCCGTTCTGTTCCATCTTAGACAAGCCAAAGTCTGTGATCATGATTTTGGAGTTCTCTTCGGGAGTAAGGTAAAGAAGGTTTTCAGGCTGTGAACACAGGGTGGTCAGCGGTTGAACTTTGTGTAGGAAAATGGAAAGGAACAACAGAAAATCATGGGGTAGAGCGGGTAAAGCCTGCAGTCACGCCAGCTCCCGGAGGCGCTGCTGTTGCTGGGGGACAGGTCTCACCTTCAGGTCACGGTGAACTATTCCATTTTCGTGGAGGTACTTCACTGCCGTCAGGACCTGGTGGATCACCACACTCGCATCTTTCTCAGTGTAAACGCCTCGTTCCAAAATTCGGTCAAATAGCTCTCCCCCAGATACCCTGTGGAAACAGTAGTTCAGAAAGAAAAAGACTGAAAAGAAAATTAAACAAAGCTAATCATGCTGTCGTGTTAGGCAAGCTAATTTTCTGGTCCTTTTACGGCTCCACCTACAGCAGAACTGTTCCTTGGGCAGCAGTTTTTGTGAGGCTGAGAGGCCGATGGACACTCTTGAGTGCAATTTCAGGGTGCCAGTAAGCATTACTGGGAAACCCTAGGGGTTTGGGTAAGGTTACGATGCAACTCCCAGCAGGTCTGAGCCGCGGGCATCCAGCACCGTGGGCAGGACTGCCTCCAGGCTCTGCTGCACAAGCAGATACAGGTTTTTGTGCAATTGCTTCCTTTTAGCTAAATTTGCAAGTTAGCAGTAGCACCAGGGTGCTCAGAGCTGATGCCCACAGCAAGCTGCTTTCTCTGCAGCTGACATGTTGCCCATTCTCATTTCTAGAAACCCTGCATGGCACAGCTTTAATTAGAAATACTTCTGTCTCTGCCCTGCTAAACTGTGATGAATTAATTTGCATAAATAGATCCTAATCTTGGTTTAGAAACTTGCTGCTAAAGTGAGCATGGGCCAAGACAGCATGGGAACTGTCCAGGTTAGTTCAAACCACGTGGCGCTCGCTCTGTTAGTGAGCGGTGTTTGAATGGCCCTTGCGCATGCAACTTTTACGTGTGAGGGACTCTGGCGTGTAGGTGCTGAAATATGGTGCATCACCCTGGTCCTGCCACTCTTCTTCCTCTGCAGCCCACAAAGAAATGGCTCTGCTGATACTTACAGCTGCATGACCAGGTAGAAGTGGGTTGTGCTCTCATAAATATCTTCTAAAGTCACGATGTTTTCGTGCTTTATTCTGCAAAGATAAAGATGGGTCAGAAACAAACCTGGCAAGCACAAAGTGGCTTCTCAAATGGAAAACCCAACGGTCATCTTGCTTTAATTGCCAGTGAAAGTTCACCGGGCTGTTTTGTGGCTGATCTCCCTTGCCCTGCGTGGCAGAGCATGGCTGATGCCACTGCAAACCCCCTCCGGAGCACCAGGCACCGACAGCACAGGACCAGACCCTTCATTTTTAAGCAGTTGCGTGCTCTGCATCTGGTCTGTTACTTGGGCTGCAAAAGCATTAACTCTGGTTCTTCCCTCCCCGAGTACTGCTTCGCTTCATCTATCTCCTTCCGCAGGTCTGGGGCAGTACGGCTGTTCGGTTCCAAGTCCAGCCGAGGAATGAGAGAAGAAACTTTATAATTCATAGTAATATTTATATATTCTTTAAAAATAAATACTTATTTCTTTATATTATTCTTACTGTAGAGCCCACATGTCTTAGGAAAGGACATTTGTTCTACTTTACATTACGATGCATATATACTCACTTTTTCAAGACTGCTATTTCATTCTCCAAGCTGCTATCCCTTGTGAGAGGGGACTTCTTGATGCATTTCAGAGCAAAGAGCTTGCCAGTGCTTCTTTGCTTCACTAGGAAAACTTCTGAAAAGGCACCTCTGCAGAGAGGAGAAGATTTATTTCAGTAGGTGCCACTGCTGTGAACTGGAAGGATACTTACAGAGAGAAAGAGGAAATAGCAAGAAAAACCAATATGGTAGTAATTTAACTCTAAGTAGATGCTGATTGTAAAGCTAGAACTACATCTCTAGCAGCCCCAAACTTAGGATATTCAATGCAAGGTTATGCAATATGTAGAAGAAACCCCACAATTTCCTCTGTAGAGGAAAAGCTTATTTTTACATAGTTCACCATGAAGCTGTGTTGAGGTAGTGGACAAAAAAAGATCCCTGCGATGCAATTAAATCACGTTCTTCAGGGCTGTCTGTACAGCCAGGTGTGTTACTCCTGTGCGTGCCAGGCTACTGGTGCACTCCAGCCGCGCCGGGTTCAGAGCGCGCCTCCGGGCAGGCAGACGGCAACCACGGTTTTCAGCGCCTGCCTCGGGGCTGGGTGCAGGAGGAGGCACCATCCCTGGTCTCACAGCTCGCTGCCTTTCAAGGAACCTTTGCACCTGAATCCATGGGGAATGGGGGGATTTTGCCGGGCTAAGTGCAAGCCCAGCCAGGGGGCTGTATCGATAACCACCTCGCTAATGGGGCAGTCTGCAGCTCGGGTGCTCCTTGGGATTAGCAACCCGCTGTGGAAAGATCTTGACAGCCTCCCCTCTAATGGGGCCAAATTCCTGCTTAATACAAATTGTGTCTCCTCAAAGCCCCCACGGTCTTAAAGTAGTCCTTCACTTGCCCCGGTCAGCATTGCCCCGAGGCCCGAGATAGCCCAACCACAGCGAGGGGGCCCGATTATGTTGCCATTTGGGTATATCAAAACGTTTCGTGTCTCTAAAGTGCAAAACAACTAGATAACCTCAGTTAATACTTTCATTCAGCACCCAATGTGTTTTCCTTTCTTCAGAGACTGCTAATAGCTGCATATGCTCGGTGACAAAGCGACAATGAGTGTCTCTTGCATTCCTGATACGGGTTCAGCCCAGTGCAGCGATGAGCAGGTATTTATAACGCGCCTGAGGCTCGCAATCCTGTTAAAGGTTTGTCTTAGGCAGCTGAACACGTGTCTTGGGATAGTGACGGTGCATACTTTGCCAGGTCAGTCCTCAATAATCCTCATCAAATGAGCAACAGATTAATTGATGGCAGTTAAATGGAACTTGCCAGTGAGTCTGCGAAGCGCTGCAGGGAGCTGGAGGGCAGAGCGAGGAAGGTGAGCGCAGCGGAAGCACCTTCTTAGCTGGGATGCTATTGCAGCAAACCCAATTAACAAGGGCAGAAAACAAGCATCTCCCGTAACGCACTAAAAGAATCCAGCATGCTGTGCAGATAGGCTGGCTGAGCACGGAGCCGTACCCATCTGGCACGCGGCGCTTTGCTCCTGTGCCTGCGTTAGGGAGCAGCAGCCGGCGACGAGGCTGGGGGGAGCGGGAGCTGAAGGCAGCTCCTTGCTCGGCTCAGCTTTCCTCCTCCTCCATGGGCCCCTGAGCGCTGCTGAAACCATGTGCAAGACCACTGGGGTTGTGAGGAATTGGGCTGTGCCAGGACCAGTTTCTAGCAAGGAACAAAAAACCCCAAACCAACAAACTGTGTGTCCTCCCCCCGCCCCACAAAAAACCCCATAGGTTTTTATGACCCGTTCCAAACCCCTTCCTCCCTGGGAAGGCAGCCCAACGGATGAATTTGAATCTTTGTTTCACTCAGTAAATTATATGCGATGTTTTTCTCTTTTCTGGCCCCCAAAGCAGGTGGTGTTGGGACCTTTTCCTTGTTTCACACATTTTTCTCCTTTTATGCATTTGAGCTCTGAAGGCTGTTTTGTGGAAATGCCTTTCGAGTTCCTGAGAGCTCTCGGGGAACAGGCAGGGATGCCCTCGCTAAGGTCCCTAATGCAACAGTTGTGGGTGCTGGGGGAAGTTGATAGCAAGGCTCCGGGTAGTTTTAGGTCCTAGATCTTCATTTTTATTCTTCAGCTAGCTGAAGCGGTGCATGTGGAAAAAGAACCCCATTTCTAATGCTAAATTTTCCTATTAATGTAAAAGTAGGAAATGAACAACCTACAAATCAGATGCTGGGGCATCTGTTCTGTGTATCTGTCCCAAACAGTTTATAATAATTATGCCCCTTATTAAAAGATGATGAATCAACAAGTTGGCTAGGAGAGAATAAAGCTTTTTCTAACCTCATTCCATTAGAGAAAGCTGCTGGATAATTTAACTAATTTCTGAGGCTGACCAGGAACACGGTATTTCAAAATGTCACCAGCTCCGGAGTTGCTGTTTTTTGGGAGCTCTGCTGTGGGTTCTAAAGTCACAGAAAATTTGGCTGTGACAGAACTCACTGGTGGAGGTAACTCAATTCCTCCTCCACCACCTTGGAAATGTTTTCTTGTCTCATTCGCATGAATAGGCAAATCAAGCTGTTAACTCACAGAGAAGCATTGTACAACTTGAACATCCTTGTTCTTGTTTCATCCCTCCACTGAGTCAGGGCTTATGAGCTAAATATAAGACTTATTATTATAATACCGCTCTCAGAGCCATCCCTTGACCTTGCTTGACGTTGCAGCAGCAGCAGACCAGTGTGCTCAGCAGCAAAAACTTGAACTAAGCTGCCGTGCAGGCTTAGAGGGAAAGGAAGAAAGGGCAGAGCTGACCCGGAGCCGTGCCGTGGGGCTGGGTGGGAAGGAGCTGCTCCGGTGCTGCTTGGCAAGCGTGAGCCATGAACCGGAGCAGCAGCAGCAGCAGCGATGCGGCAGGCCCCGCTCGCCCCGGGGCGGGGG